CTTTAAACCATACTTTGAATCAAAAAAATAAACAAGCATACCAGTAGGGTTTATTGGTTCTTTTTGAGGTTGACAGTTTTCCAAGATGGCAATAGTGGTGCTTATTTCTAGATGAGGCACAGTCGCATCCTCTATGTGTTGAACTTCTTGCTCTCCATTTTCATTCACCCTACACAAAATTTTAATAATTTTTAATTTCTCAAATTTTAAATACAGAGACAAAAATTGGCTCACATTAATGTTTAAATTTTACATGAAAAACAAATCGCCTAAATATTGTGGAAAGAAAACTTCACATAAAAGTTATAAAAGAAAAAATGGATAATTTTGTACAAACCAATTCATGTGACATTCATATGCAGGGTTATCCCTAAGACTCCAGGAATTTGCCAACCTATAATGACATAACCCCCTGGTTATTCTGGTATCCCCCCTCAGTCCCCTCTTGGGGAGAAACTCCAGACCCTTCTATTTTTTTTAAAGTTCCTTCCTATTTTTTCAAGCCTTAGGGACAACACTGCACATGAAGTAATATTTATCTAATTTTTGCATGACTTTCAACTATAAAAAGGAAAATGCATGACTATTATGTGAGCAACTATTCCCCGTGATATTTATTATTAATAGATAGTATATAATGTTGTTTACTTCCAATATAAAAATATACTCTTTATATCAATATTTGTACCTGATCTCCTTCAAAACCCTCTTTGACTTTGAGTTGTCATTAAGACAATCAAATGATTGGCGTCTCTTTGGCGCTGGTCTGCTTGGGGTGACTCGGTCATGTTGTAGAGCTGGCAGTGGGTCGGGGTATTTCTCTGACTGTCCCCCGTCAATAAAATGCTGTGGTGATTTAAAATATTATTCAATCAGTCACTTAAACTTTCAATACTTCTACATTTGCAAAAATGTAAAAAGAGGATTATGAAATTCTGTGCTTCCACTCTTATGGGTCACTGTGCTGTACTTATACAGATGTGTAAACGTAAACGACTCTCCTCATGTTATAACAAGTTGATATCCAGCCCTTTCCCCATCCCTACAGTATCTGTATATGTCATAACATAACAAAATACAAATAAATCAATTCATTCAGCGCTACAGTAATTACCTTTGTGCACACATAAAAGTGCTTGGATTTATTTCGATCTCTTAAAATATCCTCATTAAGTTGATATGAAGGCCTTTCGCAAAGTCGAATCCACCTTCTGCATTTTTCCAGATTTGTTGCTGGTTTCGGAAATGGAATGAATTTGACTCCCCCTTCCAGCCTCTCGGGATACCTGTCATCAGTATTACAAGTCCCCCAGCTACATCTTTTAACCATAATTGATTTATACCTATTTGTTTACTAGTCCAGAGTCAGTCTAACTCGCCCAGTGTTTGTCGGAACATATGGCGGCGCAAGTTTTCACTGAACGCGCAGAATAAACGAAATTATTTCATTGGTTGAAAATTTGCTGTGATTGACAGCTGGCGATACGTTAATTTAGGCCTATGCTCGGCACTTAGGGCCTTTGAGCAGGGAGGGATCTTTATCGTGTCACACCAGCTGTGACACGGGGCCTCGGTTTATACGGTCTCATCCGAAGGACCGCCCCCATTTAGTCGCCTTTTACGACAAGCAAGGGGGGTACTGAGGACCTATTCTAACCCGGATCCCCACGGGGCTTGTCTCAGTCTAACTCGTTCACCAAACGACTGTACAATTTATTGTAATATCTTAGAAATCCCTCTACAGTATCATATAATAATTTGTACACAGTTTATTGAGATAAATGAGTTCCTTAAATTCAATTAATGATTGGATTAATCGTTTTAGCGAAGGAAGGCTGATGGTTAAAAATGATACTTGTCATCTTGCCCAGTGAAAGCAAGTTTGAAAAGATATGTATTTTTAATTAAGCAATTTGCTATCAAAGACCTCCAATTAGCACTTTGAAAAATAGTTAAATATTTGAATAATGAAATAAGTATTAAATACCTAAGATATCGTTTACTTTAGATTTTAAACATATTAGATATGATAAAAAGGATGCACCCATTCTCTATCCACCTTGAATAAAGGTCTCTCCAGAGACAGAAGATTTGTGTTTTAATGGTCGCCATGCTTATTTTTGGAAAGGATGTTATTATCCACCCATTCTGTTGCCGAGATATGACCATTTCTGACAAATTAACTGTTCTTGTCATAAAAATTAACTCACATGGAAAGAAATATAAAACTCGGAAAAATCTTTTAACTTTTGTGACAGAACGCTACGGAGGGGGTCACATGACCGCCAATATCACGTGATTCGCGCATGCGCAGAACGGTGGTTAATGTGCATTAAAATCGGGGAGGATTAATTTAAAGTACAATCAGCATTGAAACCAAATATTGTTTCTTGTATGGAAGTTATTCAATTAGTTTGCGAACTTTTTGATCACCCCTCGTATATCAAAGAAGGAAAACACGAAATATGTAATTTAGTATTCATTCAGTCAGTTTTACTTTTCTTGACGATGGAGCTGAAATTAAAAAAAAAATAGATTGATAAATAGTTTTCTTCATTTTTTTCACAAGAGATATGTGTAACGAATATATATTTTGATAATTTAATCTTGAATATATTCTTACATTGTTAGGATTTCTCCTTTTCTCTTTCTTCCTTTTACAATGGCCCCTTTCTCGAAACAATCTTCAGGAAAAATCTGCTTTTCAGTCACACTGATTAAGTCACCATTCACTTCGATAAGATTGCTGCAATTTCATAGACATTATTTGTTGTGGGTATACTAATTTTATTTGTTAATATTCAACATATTTGGCATTTAAAAAAATAGAATTGCCTGTATTTTTAGGTCACCTGAGTAACTATTGCTATCCGTTTTTGTGTGTCGTCGTGCGTCGTGTGTTAACATTTGAACATTTTCAGCTGCTTCTCTTCAACCGCTTAACCAATTTCAACCAATTTTGGCATTGTGAATTTCATGGTCCCTGTCCCCCTGGGGCCTGAGGGGTGGGGCCAAAACCACTAAAATTAGTGCAATCTTTAAAAATCTTCTTCTTTACTCCTGGACATCAAGCAGTCAAACTGTTGGCATGACTGTAATGAGCATTGAGTCCTCTACCAAAATTGTGAAATTCATGGCCCCTGGGTCACGGGTTCTAGTGCTAGGGCGGGGCTATATAGATTATATAGTGAAAATGCATTATTTCTTTGAAAATCTTCTTCTCTGCTCCTGGGTATTAAATAAACTAACTGAATACGTAGTAATGATGAGCAAGAGTGCCTCTTCCAAAATTGTGAATTTTATGGCCCGAGGGTCAGGGAGTCTGGTGTTAGGGCGGGGCTCTATTGATTATATAGTGAAAATGCATTAATTCTTTGATAATCTTCTTCTCTGCTCCTGGGTATAAAATACACTAACTAAGTACATAGTTATGATTAGCAAGAGTGCCTCTTCCAAAATTGTGAATTTCATGGCCCCTGTTTCAGGGGTTTTGCCATTTGGTGTAGGGTGGGGGGGGGGGCTCTTTTGATTATATAGTGAAAATACATTAATTCTTTAGGAATTTCTTGCTTTGTTCCTGGGTATTATGCCAATAATCCAAATATATATATTTATGATGAAGAAAGATGCATCTAGCAAAGTGGTTATTTTTTTTTTACCCCCTGGGTCAGGGGTAAGAGGGTGGGGGTTACATAGTCTGAAAATAAATTAATGCTTTAATAGCTGCTCTTTGGTATTAATCAACCATTTATGATGAAATAAAACTCATGATAAAATTTCCAAAATTTATGTCCAAGGGTCAGTGGTTCCTTTGGGGTGGGGTGCACAACTGGTTATAAAGTGGAAGTGCATTTTCTCGTTGTTACTATGATGTACCTCTGGGTATTAAGTAACTAGAGTAAGCATGTTAAGTGTATAATTATGATAAACAATGGTGCCTCTTTCAAAATTGTGAATTTTACGGCCTTTGGTTTAAAACACGAACCAAAGTCAATTTCTGAAAAAAATGTTTCATGACGCTCAGGTGACCTATAAGGCCTGTGGGCCTTTGTTCTATTCGTGCTAGCACATATCAGTAGAATGCATAGTTTGTTTTTTTTTCCACAATAAAAAAAATTATAACACTATTTTATGTTTTCTTTTCCGATGAACTTGTCACTTTACAATCACTGGGGAAAATTCTATTTAAATTATTTAAATTTAATTTTTCCACATTATCTAACTTGGTTGTAAACATATGCGGTGATACTATACATTTATTGCATGATAGTGAGGGAAATATGAAGACTTATTCAGCCAAGAAAAATCGTATTCCCCGAGGGCTTTGCTAGATGCATCTTTCTTCATCATAAATATATATATTTGGATTATTGGCATAATACCCAGGAACAAAGCAAGAAATTCCTAAAGAATTAATGTATTTTCACTATATAATCAAAAGAGCCCCCCCCCCCCACCCTACACCAAATGGCAAAACCCCTGAAACAGGGGCCATGAAATTCACAATTTTGGAAGAGGCACTCTTGCTAATCATAACTATGTACTTAGCTATTAAAGCATTAATATATTTCTTGGCTGAATAAGTCTTCATGTTTCCCGAACATTCATGCAATGAATTGTTTATTATACCGAAACAAGCAAAACTTTCATTTTTTACGTAAAGTTACTATAAAACCCTTTGGTCAACGCATTATCATCAATTTTATGACGTAAGCCAGGTTATTGTGACGTCTACTATACTCTCTGGAGTTTTCTTTAGACGAACAATTTTTGCGGGAAAATGAACTAAGTATCCGAAGAGGTGAAATATCACCCTATCGCCGACGGCCGGGAAATATGAAGTTTTACGGCCCGATCACGTGATAACTTAGAACCAATCAGATAACGCGTTGTTTAGAATGTTTATAATGAGGTATAATAATATAATTTCAAGACAAGTAAACGAAACATTAGTGTTTTATATCCTGGAAAATATGAAATTTTCTTGATCAATGTAAATGAAATGCTTTGGTTTTGATTTATTTCACAAGGTTATTTCGAAGTATACATTAACTTTATTCAACAGGAAAGAAAAAACAAAATGGTAAAATGTTTAGCGCATAATAGAAACAGGGTTTTTTCAGTAGTTACCATGATAATTCCGATATTTTAGTTAATAATTGGATAAAGGTTGTTATTGATATTTTTATGAATGCTTTTATCCAAATCATAATTTAGCTCCAAAACCCGTATGTATGCATTTAAAAATTGTCTCATCTTAAAGCATACAGCATACCAAGTATTCCACTGGCTATTTTATGGTTAAATATTTTGATGAAATCACTGTAAATAGTCTTTTATTATAGACTTTCCTCTCAATTAGCAAGAAATCTTGAATTTCAAAAATATTAATATTTTTAGGTCACCTGAGTAAACTCAGGTGACCTATTGCTATCCGTTTTTGTCCGTCGTCGTCCGTCGTGCGTTAACATTTGAACATTTTCAACTTCTTCTCTCAACCAATTTTGGCATATAGCATCTGTGGGTGACGGGGAACACAAATTGTGAATTTCATGGTCCCTGCCTCCCAGGGGCCTGAGGGGTGGGGCCAAAACCACTAAAATTAATGCAATCTTTAAAAATCTTCTATACTCCTGGACATCAAGCAGTCAAACTGTTGGCATGATTGTAGTCAGCATTAAGTACTCTACCAAATTTGTGAAATTCATGGCCCCAGGGTCAGGGCTTCTAGTACTAGGGTGAGGCTGAATAGATTATATAGTGAAAATGCATTATTTCTTTGAAAATCTTCTCTGCTCCTGGGCATTAATAAACTAACAAAGTGCATAGTTATGTTGATTAAGGCTACCTCTTCCAAAATTGTGAATTTCATGGCCCTTGGGTCAGGGGTTCTATTGATTATATAGTGAAAATGCATTTTAATTCTTTGAAAATCTTCTCTGCTCCTGGGTATTAAATAAACTAACGAAGTACATGGTTATGTTGAATAAGGCTACTTCTTCCAAAATTGTGAATTTCATGGCCCCAGGGTCAGGGTCTTTGGTGTTTGGGCGGGGCTCTATTGATTATACAGTGAAACTGTATGAATTCTTTGAAAATCTTCTCCTGTGCTCTTGGGTTTATAACCAATAAACTTGATACATCGTTATAATGAGGAAGGAGGCTTCATCCGAATTTGTGAATTTCATGGCCCCTGGACCAGGGGTTCTGGTGTTAGGGCAGGACTCTATTGATTATATAGTGAAAATGCATTTATTTTTTTTTAAATCTCCTTCTCTGCTCCTGGGTATTAAATAAACTAACCAAGTACATGGTTAAGTTGAATAAAGCTGCCTCTTCCAAAATTGTGAATTTCATAGCCCCAGGGTCAGGGGTTCTGGTGTTAGGGTGGGGCTCTATTGATTATACGGTGAAAATGCATAAATTCTCTGCAAATCTTCTTTTCTGCTCCTGGGTATTAAACCAATGAACTTTGTACATAGTTATG